AATGCAATAAGTCTCAGTACTCAGCCGGGTGACCGCGAGTGCCTGGTATGAAGTAAGGACATTGGTGTACGATAGTGATAGAGATGCAGCCGGGTTAGTCTGGTGTAGCTGAAACAAAATGCAGGACAATGTAGCACTTTAAAGACTAACAAGATGGTTTATTAGATGATGAGCTTTCGTGGGCCAGACCCACTTCCTCAGATCAAATAGTGGAAGAAAATTGTCACAACCATATATACCAAAGGATACAATTAAAAAATGAACACACATGAAAAGGACAAATCACATTGCAGAACAGAAGGGGGATGGGGGGGGGGAAGGTCTGTGGGCTAATGATATTAGAGGTGATAATTGGGGAAGCTGTCTTTGTAATGGGTAAGATAATTAGAGTCTTTATTCAAACTTAAGTGTAAAGTGTGCGAGGCATCGCAGGAACTCGGCGGAGTAGCGATGCTCAGTGGAACATGGGCATACCCAGGTACAAAATGCAGGCGGCTGATGGTAGGTGTGCTGGTGGGGGAGTGGAAGAAAACAGTCAAATACAGCAACCCTCTCGACTTGACTCCTGCTGTGCCATGGAATCTCTCTGGCTGCCAGTCCCAGGGTTGCGCACGCAGTGTGTAGCTGTAGGGTTATGCTGCCGGCCAGCTGACTGCCTGTGACGAGAAACCAGAAAACCAACACGGCCCAGAGAAAGGGTTACGCAGCCAGGTGGCAAAGCTTGCAGCTGCTACAAACCGACTCGAGTGTTGCCTCCAAGGCTGCCAGTGAAAAGTTGCGAAGGGGTCTCAGCGCTCTGGGGGCCTGGGCTCCAACTGGCAGAGGAGATTGCGTGGTGCTACGTGCGAAGCAATGCGCGTAGAAACCAGACTCCCAGCACTACCTCCCAGTGGGGCTAAATTACTTGTTCCCGCTCCCGAGACACCTTGGAGCCGCTGACAACGTAAGAACAGCCATGCTCAGTGTAGCGCAGCCGTCAAAAAAGTGAACAATGGCCAGAAACCAGGAGAGGGCCAGAGGATGAACCAGAAAATCCCAGCATGCCGCACTAGAAAGCCAGGCTGTGCCTGCATCTTGAATACCGTGTTTCATTCTGCCACCCCGTCAAAGATGTTAGAACTGGAAAAAGCACAGAGAAGGGTATTGGTCAGCTTCCCTGGGAGGGGAGGTTAGAAACCGCGGACCCCTCAGCTTGGGTCGGAGACACCCAGGCAGGCAGGAGGGTACGGCAGAGGCTAATGAGACCAGGACTCCTTTGAAGAAGGATTTTAACCCAGTGCACCGAGTAGGCAGCAAGCTTCAAACAAAGGGGGGATGTGAAGGCCCAAAGGGTTGAATTCGAGGCTCCGCTAGTGGCCGTGTGTTCCTACACCTCTGCATACAGCCCTCTCCCCTCCCACTGCTGGGACTGGCTGAGGGGAGGGGTTGCTTGGTAACTTGCCTGTTCTGTTCCCTCCCTCTGGGCCACCTGGCGTTGGCTGCGGTCAGACAGGCTGCTGGGCTGGCTGGACCCTTGCCCTGCCCCGTCTGGTGGCTCTGCTGGTCTTAACGCAGCCTGGGGCTGAGGGCGGGTGGGGAGGCCGGCCGGCTGGGAAGCGCGTGGCCGGCTGCGCACCACAGGGCCTTAGGAAGGCCAAGGCTATTGCTGAGCTGGTTAAACAGCCTCCCTGTATTTCACTCCACCCTGCGATACGTGGTCTGTGTCCAGCGTGGCAGGTACCCAACGAGGTAGGGGGGGGGGGC